TGTGTGTGTGTGTGTGTGTGTGTGTGTGTGTGTGTGTGTGTGTGTGTGTGTGTGTGTGTATCACTGGACAATCAAATAGTCAGTTTGAACCCTTTTCCAGATAAGTACACCCCATTTGTAAAAGTCCCATTTAACACTATGAAACTCTGACATGTACTATCAATAATACTTGCTTTATCAGTAATACTTGCTTTATCAGTAATACTTTTACTGATAAAACAAGTATTGCCATGCTGTTTAATGTTTTTACCAGTAGCAGATACTGGTCTTTCACCAACAGGAAGCTCAGTTTCAGCCTACATAATAAAATGTGTGGGTCATAAACTTTACCCTCTGTTCATTTTCAACAAAATGATCTGTGACCCTGTTACACATCATTTTGTTTAGTTTATAGTATTTATTCATTTCATTTTTAAAAACAAAACATTACATACAACAAAACAATACAAATAAAATAAAATGAAAGGCAGCAGAAGAAGAAAAATATGATGTCTGCTCCTATTTATAAAAAAAATATTAATTTCAAACAATAAATCAAATAATAAAACAAAACTAAAAAATTCAACTCCTCAAACAGTGATTCATACAAATACAAATTAAACAATGTCATATTTCTTTAACAAATTTGCTTTGATCATTCTTTTAAAGGAATTAATTGATCCAATGCTTTTATAATCATTTTCCAGATTATTCAATAGTGTTTTACAGCAGCCAGCTCTGTCATACCAGGACAGATGAAACACCTGTTATTTCCCCACTGTGGGATCAATAAAGTTTTTTTAATCTTACGTTTCCCCACCTTTTTCACCAAATTAATGTGAGGAGTTGATCAGCCCTGCTGTTTAACTCTGTAAACAAGACTATAATGGCTTCACCAAAATCTGCTCCACAACATTCAAACTGCTATTATGTGCAGCTTGTTACTGGTGTGAGGCTGTGAAGTGTGTCCATCTTGTTTTATGAYGGTGGAGGGGCTCAGCAGCCCCTGCTGGACAGAAGACGTCACAAAGAGTGATAGAAGTCCGCCTACAAACACATCAGATACAGAAACAATACCAGAAATAGAAGCTTGATTTGTTGTTAGTTGTTCTTAACAAATAAAATGAAGCTAAGAGGATTAATAAAGTCTCTGCTTCAACTCAGAACAGAAACTAAACTAAAAACTGCTCCACTGAATGTTTACACCAAAAAGATCTCTGATTCGCTCACTTCCCTGTCAATCAAAAAGGGATTCAGCCTCAGACAGATCATCCAAACATCATGCAGACAGCCAGCGTCTGATCCAGCCCACAGCCCCATAGACCCCCAGAGACGCTGAGCGTCCGATGGGCGGGACAAAGCCAACATTTATCCAATGACTCGTCTCGTTTAGCTGCAGTCTTTGCATCACTAATGAGCTCTGCAGACGCAGTGTCCGATGGGCGGGACAAAGCCCAGCATTTATCCAAAGACTCGTCTCGTTTGGCTGCAGTCTTTGCATCTCTAATGAGCTCTGCAGACACTGAGCATCCGATGGGCGGGACAAAGCCAGCATTTATCCAATGACTCGTCTCGTTTGGCTGCAGTTTTTTCATCACTAATGAGCTCTGCAGACGCTCAGCGTCCGATGGACGGGACAAAGCCAGCATTTATCCAATGACTCGTCTCGTTTGGCTGCAGTTTTTTCATCACTAATGAGCTCTGCAGACGCTSAGCGTCCGACTATTTAAATCTCTGTGAAGCTGAGGGAATGAGGGAGAGGAAAGCTGCGTCGTTACTGTGATAAGAAGCTGATTCTGAACAAAAGTTGTGTGTGTTGTAGCACATATTTAATCAATGACATGAACACACAACAGTATATATTTTATCTTTTTTTTTTTTACATTTCCGGGGAAGCTGAGCTCCCCTTGCAGTCTTAGAGAAATGGCCTGTGATTTTTAAATTGTCCATGTTCTCTGACTTCAACTACTGCTGCTCCTGGTTCTTGTGTGGAAAATGGGACTGACTTTATACAAACAGACACAACTAAAGACTAGAAGATTGTAGAGTTGTATAAATGGTAAATGGACTGTACTTATACAGCTCTTATCTGTCACAGCCGCCCCATAATGTCTATGTGCTCAWATCTTTTTTTAGCTGCTACAGGTAAATATGGCTCACATGTTRGTAACATTTGATTGATGGTTTGAATTTCTGTCCTTCCACTGTTTTTGATTGACAGGTAAAGCCTCGCAGGATCTACGGGTCTACTGTGAAGGAGAACATCCCTCCAAGGTTTACAGCCCAAAGGAAAGGTACTRATCATGGCTGTATATACAGTATATCTACGTATATAACAATGTGCAAGTACTGTATGTAGTTTATCATGTACACATGGGTTCATTATGAACCACTTAACAATTCTTGATTTTGTTTGTTTTACTACCAGTACCAGGCAGCAACACAAGTCCATAAATTAACATTTTCAGACCCAACCCCATACAACCCATAACCCTCATACTGTGAATGTTTACTTGTCAAACTGTGATCAGTGATAAAACTCCTGAATGTGTTTTTGCTCTATTATAAGTTTTCCTTTTATTCACATGGCTGATATTGTAAAACTAGTGTTCCTTTGCACAGAACAAAATAACTAAAGTTATTGTTTTTAATTTGTCAGACTGATGAAAGTCTCTTTTTAAAAYGACTGTTTCATTCAGAGGGGTTCTGTTTACATACAGTCATTTAAAACTGTTTGTTTCTGATCATTTATTGAATTACTACGATCTAAACAGAGTTACCTAACAGAATGCTAGGTGTTGATTTATGACTGTTTGTCTTGTCTGATGAAGCTCAGTGAGCAGGAGTTTAATGGATGTAGTTTTGTTGTGTAATGGATGTAGTTTTGTTGTGTAATGGCTGTAGTTTTGTTGTTGGTTGTAGTTTTGTTGTGTAATGGATGTAGTTTTGTTGTGTAATGGGTATAGTTTGGTTGTTTAATTGATGTAGTTTTTTTGTTGGTTGTAGTTTTGTTGTTTAATGGTTGTAGTTATATTTAATGGTTGTAGTTTTGTTGTGTAATGGTTATAGTTTTGTTGTGCAATGGATGTAGTTATGTTTAATGGTTGTAGTTTTGTTGTTTAATGGTTGTAGTTATATTTA